ATATCACATCAAAGATAGTAGCTTCCCACAGGCGTAGAATTTTGATATGGTGATGTCTTCTGAATGTGCAGAAAGTTTTCAGGAAGAAATCTTGATAAAAAAACACACAAGAGGTGTTAAAATCCAGGGATTTATAGATTAATTTCAGCAAAATAAATTAATATTCATGTGAAAAGGTGAAACATAAAGAAATCACTAAACAAAAGACACAGAAGATTAAATCATGCCAATATGTGTGTTGACTCAGCAGTTATAATATTTAATGATATAAGTTGATGTATAGATATTAAATATTTTAAAGTAGAGCAGAATATCTTGCTGTGTTATCATCCATTATATTTAAAATCGTGACTTGGTGCCTGAATCTTGTGGTTTTCTCGACATAAATAAATACATTTCCACCATAAATTGATGCAGAAAATCAACAAAATTAACCAGAATACCCCAAATGTTCAAAGGATGCTGCTTAATGTGTCCCCCCCATAACAACAGTTGTGGGAAAGGGGGTCCGCAACAAAAGTTCTGAAAGAAAACCAGTGACATACTGCATGTAACTCCAGTTCTATGACTATGTGCATTGCCCTTTAATGGGCTTCACTACTGGTTGTGTTGAGTGGCCACTTTTAGTCTGTGGTCTCGCTCAGTCAGACCATTCTGCATTCAAGAATGCTCTGACTACACCTCATTGTTATATTGCTTTAGAAAAAATAAATAGTTTGTATTTCTTTAAACCAGTCACAACAGCTAAGTGAAGGATGCTTCCCTCAAAATGGTGGCAAGTGATTTGTTTTGCTTGCAGGGAGGTGAGTGCTGCCTTTAAAATGAACAATGCATTGAAATAAACTAGCAGAGCGCCGTCCTGCACAATCCAGATCTTCAGCAACACTTATCGGTAGGTTGCTGCTCAGAGCTTGTTGTTGTTGTTGCCTTTAGTGAAGTGTATCCGGTCAGTTGAGGCTCGTCTCATTTTACTAATTTCGGCCTCCTCTTCTCTTCTGCCCTCCTGCCCATGACCCCAAAATAGATCTTGCCGCACCATCGCGAAGGACGTCTCAGTTCCTAAAATGCACCTCGAGGTCAGCGAGTTGAGGAGGTTTGCTGAAGGAGGATGCACGAGCGTATCCCCTTTAGGTAAACTCTTTTCCACGCGTGTGACGTATAAAAAGAGAAACGACACGCAGCTGGGATCTGCAAACCATGTTGGGAGCCCAACTGACGAACGCGTGTTCATTACACGCATCAGTCAGTTATAATTTACTGCTTGTCACTCCTTATTTATAGTGTACTTTTTTTTGTGTCACATTTTATTTGTGGTTTTTGGTGTAACTTTGATGCTAGAACATGTAATTCATATGTGTGTCACAGCTGTGGAGGGCTATTTCTGCTGCATTTTTATGCTTAAAAAAATAAAATCTGTTATAATTCTTGTATATGTGTGTGTCACAGAAACCAAGTGTTATTTATGCTTCATTTTCAAACCTATATGAATATATTTTATTATTATATATTCTATTTGCATACTAAATCTGCACATGCAGCTGCACCCTGTATGTGGTTTGCAAATGTTCAGCAATGTGCATATCCAGATATGATCGTCACGACTGTCTTTATAGAGATCTTGATACATCAAATTCACTATCTTTACAACAATAAGCTACCTAGCTGTTTTCAAAGATCTCCCTTATACATGTTCTTGTTACTGTTTTTCTATATTTGCACTTTTTTCATAAAGATTCAAGAGATTTTATTTGTGCTCAGACAGTCTGTGCAGTAAAATGCAAAAAGGAAAAAAGGCATTCTCTAAAACATAATTGTCATAGAGAAGCTAAAGCGCCGTGCACATGTGTGTTGTTATGTTATGCATGAGAGCGTGGGTGTGTACCTTCTTCTACATGTCACATACATGTTTACACTGATCCAGGCTGCTGCTGCTGTTGGAGACACGGTTGCTGTATTTTATTCTACTGTTTTCTAATTGAGTGAATGCATCACTGCTATTATTTCATATGTTTCATATGCTTTATCTATGACTTTTTTTAATGTAATTTTGCTTCCCAAAACATGTGATTCATGTGTGTGTCACAGCAGTGGAGTCTTATTTTTGATGCATTTTAAAGTTTAGATATATATAAAATGTATCATACCTTTTATTTATACACTGAAGCTGCACGTATGTTTACATAAAACTGCATTTTGCATGTACTTTTTGCTCTACTGTAAGCCACTACATTACTGCAAATGTTAAGCAATGTGCTGATTAATAAATAAATAAAATCTGTTATAATGTCTTTTATTGAATTTTTATTGCATCGTGTTCTATCACAGTGGACATTTTCATATAAATTAAACTTTAGCTTTAAATTAGTCAGGTTAATCTCCATAGGTACTAATGTAAGGTCTTCGTCTAATTATGTATATTAGTTAGATTAATTCTGTCATTTATAATGCCATAGGGTCTGAGCTACATTATTACATCAGTTAGGTTGTTCTCCATAATTAATAAAACTATAGGGTGGCAGCCTTTATATGTGTCAGGTAAAAGTATCCCTCATATGCAAACTGCACAGATACAATCACACCATGATTCACATTAAAGGGTCTTAACTTGAATATTTATAATATAATATATATAGTTAGGCTCATTTTGAATGTCAATCATAATCTTTTGTGCAGGAAAGCACTCTGGCTGTTGCTTTAAATGTTAAAACATAAAAAAAACATTGACCTGAAATGTTGTATTTGTGGTTTTCTGTGGGATTTTACCCCCAAACACTTCATATGTGTGTCACAGCAGCTGAGCGTTAACTGCCCCAGTTTTATCTTTAAATAAATCCAATCTATTACAATGTCTACGTACGGTGCGTTATACAGTTTGGTGTTGTATTTTTAATGCATTATGTCCTTTCACAATAGTTCTAGTCAAGTTAATTTCCATAAATCATAACACTCACATCCTTAATATTTATATTAGTTAGATCGGGTCCTGTAATTTATAATGCCATCAGGTTTTAGCTACATTATTACATCAGTTTTCTCCTTAATAATAACCCTGTGGGGTCTCGTAAAGTTGCATTTTATGTAAATGGTTGCAAGGTTTTAGTCACTAATGTGTAAATTACTGCTGTCTGATTGAGTGAAACAACCTGAACTGTGACCAGCCGAACTGGTTTGAAAACCACAGCACAAGACACTTTCATTTTTAACAGTCAACACTGGCTTCACTGCATACTTTGCACCTCTCACGATATTTTGGCAACAATTACGACATATGGCACTGCTTCTTACATGTGGAGATACACGGCACTGTCATCTGTAAATACAGACATGCACACCAGCCAGGCAGTGTTTTACTACACCGTTGCATGGCTTGTTTCTTCATGTCTTTTTGTTTTTCTACCGTGTCTTCCATGTTTGGGTGTAAGAGAAGCGGCGCTTCAACCCTATGTCCTGTTCATTTGGCAGATTCATTGACAGGATTGCTGCTTCCTCTATACTGTGCAACGACAAATAACTGAATTCATTTGTATTTTACTCATCGCATCACGGTGTTTTTCATTTAGGAGGCTGCATAATGGTGCTGCAGATATTCCTGCCGTACAGCTGTGCAGAACCGTGTGTGTGTGTGTGTGTGTGTGTGTGTGTGATTCAGGGATCCCCCCTTCGCTTTTCCCCTGAATGACATTTCAGGAGGAAACACATTTGTAACACAGCACGTACAGTAGCTATACTCTCACCCACCTTCCCTCCCTCCCTCCCTCCCTCACCCAACCAATTTACCAGCATGAGATGCATTTAGATTCCTGGGGGTGTATCCTCCACACTACATGCAGCTCACATGACTTCACTGCATAATGCAAGTCAGGGCCGGAGAGCCAATGGGGTTTGGAGGTGGGGGTGACGTCAGGGGGCGGGTTTATTTGTGTGTGTGTGTGCATGTGTGTGTGTGCGTGCGTGCAGACCTCCCTCCTTCCCTCCCCCCTCCAGGCAGCCAGGCAGCAGCTCTCCGTACAGGCGCAGTGTGGTTCAGTGTGTGCAGCTCGGCCGGCCTCCCCTCCAACCGCTCAATGGACTAGATTTCCCAGCCACGTAAGAAGCACCGCGGCGGCACCACCGGAGAGAGGATGTCCTGCTGAATCCAGGGATTGGCCTGGGAAAGTCGGCCGGCCGTCCCTTTCCTTCCTTCCTTCCTTACTTCCTTCCTTCCATCTATCTATCACACATCCAGCAGCACTTTTTTTTTTTTTTCTTCTGAATTTTCTGCCTCCTCCGTGTTGGAACCAGGAGAGGGACTCCCCGCACACAAAGAGCCGCAGCAAGCAGCCTCTCTCTGGATGGGCTTCTTCTTCCCCCCGTCTGTGCTCGATGACAGCCGCCGGTGCACGGATGTGATCCCCGGGAACAAGGCCGGATTTGCACTGACCTGGTACTAGTTAGCCACGGAAGCTAACTAGTTAGCTCTGCACCTGCTAGCAACCGTCATTTTTAAATATCTCGCGTTAGCTTTCGGAGGAGGGGGGAAACAGAAAACAAACAAACAAAAGAAAAAAAACAACAACAAAAAACTTGCTTTACGTGTTTTATTTTTTCAATTCCCGTGCCTGACAGCGAATTATTTCACGAAACGTGCCATTATATGGTTTATTAACCGGCAACATAAGCTAGCAGACGAGCTTCATTCATTTGGGAAAGCTAACTTTTGGTAGCCTTTGTTGCAGTTGTGTTGCCTCGAAAGGTTGAATGAAACCGACTCTGTTTGATTTTTACCTCCTGAATGGAAAACGAAAGGAGGGCAAATGAACTGTAACGAAATATTGGAGCCGTTTTTGTAGCAACGACCCCATTTTTTTCTCTTCTTGTTTCTCCAACTGCAAGGTGCAGCTAATCTGTTTTTTTATTTTTATTTTGACTTTTTTTTATTTTTCGCTTTAGCCACAGCATCGGAGCAGTTGCGTCATTATTATTATTAGAATTATTATTATTCGTGTTTCCCCCAAAATCGAGCAGGAAGGAGGAAGGCTCCCCCACCTCACCACCATCATCATCATCACCACCACCGTTTTGTGGAGTTATCGCACTTATTCCTCATGAACATACAGAGGTCAAATCCAATTAACATTTCACGTTATGGGAGATCGCGGCACAAATCGCACGATTTCGAAGAGCTATCCTGCTTAAGGACTACAGAGTCGCACCAGAGCTTCAGCCCCAACCTCGGGTCCCCCAGCCCGCCGGAGACCCCGGACTCCTCGCACTGTATCTCCCGCATCGGGGACTACCTTTTGTTGGAGCCGCTGGAGGGAGACCACGTTTTCAGAGCCGCCCACCTGCACAGCGGGGACGAGCTCGTATGTAAGGTTAGTATTCACTGTGCACTTTTGCCTGCAGCCTTTTTTTTTCTTCTTCAATGTGCAAATGTCTTTTTTTTTCTTTTCTTTTCTTTTTTTTTAAACGCATAAAACAGCACAAAAATGCATTTCTGGCGTCCCTACATGAATCTATGTGAGCTCCCTTCAATGCACACTGTCCTAAATGTGATGCACATTCAATGCAGACAGAGCTGGTCCACCTCCTCAGCTTTTTAATAATTGCTTGCATTGTAAATAGAGAGCTGGCAGAGCAGCCTAATGGAAAAAGTGAATGGGGTGAGCTGCGTGGTTTGGATTGCATGATGTAACGTTGACAAAGGAGTGAGTAACCACGCACACACTCCTCTCAGAGCTATTCTCGCTTACCCATGGCTTCTCCCTTTCATAGTACAATGCTGTAATCGTATTATTTCACCCTTTTGGATTTATATTCGGTGCATAAACACAGTCATTTTGCATCGAATACTTGTTGGAATCGGGAGGAAAGAACAGCACGGGGAACTTCACAAGTTCAACCAGCTGCTGTGACATTGGCTCCAGCATTGACCTCCCTCACCATAAAATATAAAGCACTGCTCCCTAAAGCTTGAGGACAACCTCGTGGCCTTTCCTCACCACATTTATAGCCCGTATTGACTTTCCTATTACTGATTATAAGGGCAGCAGGGTCGTCCCTGAGGAACATTACAGCTTTAAGCTGGCTTAAGTGAATTGATGAATTGAGACGAGAGTTACATGCACCCTTGGACTCATAAGGCATGACATATCCAATAACCCGTACCTTTTGACTTGAGATAATGTTTTGTCGTGGCAATAACAAATTAATGGCCTTTGGCACAGCCTATGAGCTGTTTGACCTCATCTGCTTTGTGCCGCTTTCAATACAGCAGAAATCAATCCCTTCCTCCAGGATTGATCATTACTGTCAGGCTGGAGGCTCGGGTCGCAACTTAAGATCTGGAGACCTGTGGGGTGGATTTGTATTGACTGCAGGCAGAGGAGCCCTCTCACCTGAACTGGTTGTACTGAAAGTCAATTGGGGGTTACTATGGAAACAAAAGAGACACTGCAACCCCGGGCTGCAGTATAATACCATGCACTAATACGATGCTTTCACTTTGCCTCTGTTTAACCTCACTCACAGGCAGTTGGTGTCACAAGAATGCGGCGGATTGCTCATATTTTGGTGACATTTCGTTTAATTAGAAGGCAATTTGATGCTCTTTCAGCTGGACCTAATTGTGTCCCCACTGTGGGAAAGTGGAAGTAAACAGTTGGCAGATGTTTTCACACCAAGATTTTGAACCACCAAAACAACCGAATGAGATAGTTGTTCTCATATATCACTCCAGATAAGAAACAAATCCAACCGGCTGGACTGCAAATATCAATGTGTCTCCCTCTTGTGTTTGCAGGTTTTTGACATTGGCCGATACCAGGAGTCACTGGCGGCCTACTTCGCTCTGGGCCAGCACCAGCACATAAACCAAATCCTGGAGATTTTGCTCGGGGAGACGCGAGCGTATGTGTTCTTTGAGAGGAGCTATGGCGACATGCACTCTTTTGTCCGCACCTGCAAGAAGTTGCGTGAGGACGAAGCTGCCAGGCTCTTCTATCAGATAGCCTCGGCTGTGGCACATTGCCACGACAACGGACTGGTCCTCCGTGACCTCAAACTGAGGAAGTTTGTCTTCAAAAACGAGGACAGGTAAGTTCTGCAGAAAGTCTCTGCTGAGCGTCTCCCTTTCATCTGTACACGTTGTGTATGTTGCATTACAGCCGTGCCAGTGTTATGTGTCATATCTCAGCTTACATGGTGTAAGCTGAGACAATACGAGAGTGACATGCCTCTCCCAGATGTTGCGCACGACGCAGGAAACATAAGCCCTTTGTGTCTCCCCTGGTTATTTTTGTGCACAGGGTTTACAGTGGACATATATGAACACAGACTTGTACTGTCAGAGAAACATCTCGTGTCAATGTAAGCGTAAGACTTAGTCAGAGCTGATGTTGACATGCAGAGGAGTTAGCAGGGCCAGCTTCTGCATGGCAGATGATCAATTTAACCGAGCATCTGCACTTCTGTAATGATGAGCCAGAGAAAACTGTAGAATCCCATTCTCACCGTACACTTTTGCCGCCCCCTGGTGGCAGCATTTGTAAACTACACCAATAAAAGCCAGGCATCTGTTGCTACAGCAACCTCAGAGCTGCTTTTTATTAATGAAGATGAGTGTTTTAAATTCGAGTAGGTGTCGATTCGGGCTATTTTTACCTTTTTTCTTTTTCTTTTTTTTTTAAAGTTACGTCACTGCTGGCTGCATGCAAATTCTACCAGTAAAGTTTCTTCTCGAGGCTTCTTTCCAGCTTATCTAACTCCTTGGCAGAGGCACACGCTGCACTTCAGTGCCCTCTGTCTGGAAGCGTGACGTCATTCTTTGGCGCTAACTGTGGAAAAGGGAAGTTGAGCTGCCTCACATATTTAGTCCGGGTCCAGTAACCTTGAATGTCACATCAGACCGCCTGGATGCCGTATCGGCCCCCTCCTCCTATTTAAATGATTGATGTCGGGTGAATTTTAAGAGTGATGATGCGAGGCGGTATTGGGTCACATTTACTATATGGCCTGTCAGGACTCCTCTTACGGCTTTTCAGTCGTGCCGAACCAGCGGACATGAGACGAGGAGACAAAAAAGCTGCTCTGGCTGCAACCCAAGGCTGAATGCATAGAGGGGAAAACCAATAAGAACAGGCATAAAATGATACCTGAGCAGGCCTCCGCAGCATGACTTAGCTTCTTGACCGGATTTTGTCATGCTGCTGTTAGCCTTTAACCAAACAGCAGCCTGTTTAAAGAGCGTCGGTCAGAGTCTGGCCTTGAGTGGAGTCCTGCTGCTTGAACCGTTCATGTCATCCTTCTACAACAATCGCACACATTGCATGCGATTCGGCTTAAACAAAGAATGTGCTGCAATTAAATTGGGCTCTTCTTTCTTATTTCTGCCCTTCTAAGCCCTCTTAGCTGTAATTGCAGGTTTGCGCATCCTCCAAATGAGCTCTTATCCAGGCTGTATTTAAAATTCACATGGCTCTTTATCTCGCAGAGGAACAATGGGCATTTAGCGCAAGCCAACAATGGAATTCCTTATTTAAAAATGCAAAAACGCTCCACGGCGTATTAATGAAAGCAAATTACTGATCGTGAACCAACCAATGGGCGAATGTGAAAGTTTATGTAAGTGTCACAGATGGCGGAAAATACATTTTTCTTTGTGTCTGGGCTTCTTGGTTTCCTCTCTCTGCTCGTGGCTTCCCGATAGATATCATCACGCACAGTTTGTGTCACGCATAATGTCTTATGGACCTCACATGCAGATGGCAGCGTTTACACAACCCCACAAGTGTCTCTTAGCATGCACATGGAAAATTTTCTCGCCTGGGCTTCGCCAGATTCTTTAGTGACACGTTTCTGAACAACTAGTTATTATTATCAGCACTCAGGGGTATTACAGCTTAGAAAAGAGCAGGACAAAAAAAAAAAATCCACACTGCTTGGCGCTGCTTGATTTTTCTGAGCAAAACAGTTCAGTGCATGAAACTGAAGACGATCAGCCACCCATAATTATGCTACTTTTTGGAAAGCCTGTACAATGATGCTTTTTTTATCCGAGTGAAAAGAAATGTCAGGCTTAAGCCTCGAGAATTATGCGCTCTACTTCCTTTGATAACCAAAAGCGATGGATTTAAAGCACTTAAGATGTCCATCAGAGCAAATTACTGCACTTGATTTGTCTTTTGTGCCTCATTTTTTTGTTTTTGTTGGCACCAAGTTTTGGAACTGTGATAGAAACACTAACAAATAACGCTTCCCTTGTGTCTGCAGAAGCCTTGTGAAGCTGGAGAGCCTCGAGGACACTTATATCCTGGATGGTCATGATGATTCCCTGTCAGACAAACATGGCTGCCCGGCCTACGTCAGTCCCGAGATCCTCAACGCCAGCGGCAGCTATTCGGGGAAGGCGGCTGACGTCTGGAGCCTGGGCGTCATGCTGTACACCATCCTCGTGGGGCGCTACCCTTTCCACGACGTCGAGCCCGGTTCTCTGTTCAGCAAAATCCGCCGGGGCCACTTCAACATCCCCGAGACGCTGACGCCCAAGGCCAAGTGCCTGATCCGCTCCATCCTCCGCCGGGAGCCGGCAGAGCGCCTCACCTCTCGGGAGATCCTGGAGCACCCCTGGTTCGCCTCCTCCGGGGCGCTAGGGGGCGCTGCCGCCATGCACGGCAGAGGGGAAAGAGAGCAGGAGCAGATGGTGCCTGAGGTGAACATGGAGGAGGAGCTGGAGCAGTTCTTCAGCTGAGCAAAACACCAAGCACAAACGGACGACTCCGCCACGGTCGGCTCGCCACGGTCACAGCAGAGCCAAAAAACAGTAGTTTAGAAATAAATAGGTGAATTTGTCACTCATAATAAAGGTGTTTCCATCCTGTTTCCTTTTTCCACCATTTCATGGAAAACCTTGAGCCTGGCATGACAAATGGCATCTATACATCATCTGGCGACGCGCGTCCCGATCGGGGATGTTGCCACCAGACATGCAAGTTGCAAATAATGTAGCAAATGTTCTTTTTTGGGTTTTTTTTTGGATCTGTTTGGTTTAATGTGGTGCTCATAAACACATTCACCATTTTTTGACACTATGGAAAGCATGAAGGGACAACGCAGGAAACCAAGGAGAGACGAACTGACGAACTGCGACACCACACCTTTTCTTACGGATTTAGTTTAGTTTGTTTCTGTCATAGCTTTAGGTGGTGATAATTTAAAAACCACAGACCCAGAGTCAGAAATAACAACCCCAAGTTCTAAACTAATACAAGGTGATTATCCCTGACCTGGGACCACTGGTGAAGAAACGGAGCAGCTTAGGCTTTTATTTTTTTTTCTTCTCATCGTCGTTGCATCGTAACCAACATGGCTGACCTCGCCTTTTTGTTTCACGGTTTTGTCGTTCATTGAAAATTCTGCCACTAAACTCCTCGATGGCCTTGTTTTCAGTTTCTGCCTCCTCTTGTCTGTCGAGTCCATACCACACTTTTGTAAACCATCTTTTTGTTTTTAAGCTATTCCAATCTGTTGTTACTTGCTGCTTTAATGTCACTCCCTAAAAACCTCAAATCTTAAAAACCATTTTTTCTTCCCAACATGGTCTCATGCACTTGGTGTGTTAGGCGAACGGACGATTCCACCTCCTTAAAAAGAAAAAAAAATTGAAAAAAAATTAGCTTCCTTTTATTTAAATTCATTCTTCGGTTGTAGGAACGAGAACATAACATTTATTTAAATTGTAACAGCTATATATAAATATATATAAATAAATATAAATATATATATTTAAAACTACATTGCAGGGTTTTTCTTTATCCAGAGATTCCTTTTTCATGTATGATGTAGGCAATATCTTGACACAGGACAGGCGCTAAGAGGAAAAAAAAAACAAAATGTCTGTCTGAAGTTTTAGAATATCTTCTGTGCCAGTATTCCTGTGCCCCCACAGCCCATGCCACCCAGTCTCCCCCTCGTTTCTTTTTCAAAAACTTGATACGAGCTATTCAGTGATAGTATTGCTATGACATGCTCACTCCGGAACCTCATGTTAGTTTTTCTACTGCCTGCGTAGGGTTCTGTGAAACGATCATGCTCGGAATGGGTACCAGTGGACACGTTTCGTCGTATCTCAATGTTACTTGAATTTGTGTTTTTAAATCTTAGTCATATGGCATGTGCTCCATGAATGCTATAGCCTGCCTAGCAAGGGTGGGTGGGAAGGGAGGCCGGGGTGGGTGGGGTGAGGGTTTCTCGGGGGGGGGGTGGGGGGGGGGGGAGGTAGGAGGGTGCTTGTTTTCTAAGAAAAATTAAAAAAAACATGAAAATTCTCAATTTGCTACTTTTCTGAGTTGCTTTTCGATTACAAAAAAAAAAAAAACCTGACAACTATTGCTTTCATTGTTTTTGTAGACTGAGCTACCTTTATTTTATTTTTTTTGTTTGTTTAAGTTGGTGCTGATTTGGTGCTAATGTTTAGTCCTTTTTGTTTCATGGAGGGGGGTGGTGCATGGTGGGATATCTGCCTCAGATGTTCTGATTGTATCGTAACAGATTCTGGTGTTTTGTCCAAATTTATTCAGTAAATAAATTGTGAACTGCTATTTGATTTTTTGGTTTTTCTTCGCCAACACAACACGCAGCTTTGTTGCTAGGGCTCAACAGTTTGGGGAAGTCGTCTGATTTTACTGACAGATATTGCAGTTTGACTTTATTTATGGTTAAGCTTTAGTTAGATATTGATTGTGTGGAGCGTTTCCACACTAGATACCATGAACACAGCAGTTTAAACCCTGGGTCAGAAGCCGAGAGGCGGCTTTTCATCTCCAAACCAAATGATTCCATCTCAGTGATAGAAAGAGCTTTATAAAAGTCTATCCACCTATCTTGGAAGTTTTCATCTTTTAGTGCTTTTCAGTGGCAAATCATCATCATTTATTTGGTGTTTTTGAAAAGA